GGACATTTTGAGTGATTTACAAATTCCCCCCGGACGCTATTTTTAGCACAAAAAGGAGGACATGTCCGGGTAAATCCGGACGAATGGTAACCCTAATTTAACTCCATTGGTATCAGTGGAGGTCTTTTGATTTCCATTGGTGCCAGTGAATGGAGAGTCACACCCAAGGAGTTCATACCTTATATTTTGTGTCAAATTCTGTTAGGCATAGTCACGAACAAAAACTTTTGGTCAAATTCTGCCCTCCAAAGCACAGATTTAACTCTCATTTCAGTTCACCTTTTAAAAATTGTCCTGTTAAATTGGTGAAACAATTATTAAACACAAGAAAGTACTCATGGACACATTCAGTGGGACTAAAAATAATTACTGAAAATAAAAAATTAGACATGCAGCTGAATAAGAATCTTCCTATGTAACCATTCACTTTGCAATATTCTGTTGCCTTATTTCTTATGACAGAACTGTCTTATGCATTGTTCTGGGGAGGTAAAATGAGAGAACTCGGTGGTGATGTCCTAGTTGTTATCTATGTTTGTTGTTGTATTAACTTTGTTACTGAGGGAGTAAACTTTGACTTTAACATGAGCAGCATAAATTAGGTTGTTGTTTTTGCAGTAACAGCTCACAAAATCACTTCTTTAGCATACAGTGTGGGAGCCTAATGGTTTCTAACACTATTTAATGACATTGTTGCCCAGCCTGTGAGTGGTGGGTTACTGTTCAACGTTTCACAAGTAACTGAATGTAGTAAAGTTCTGTTTAGAAACTAGCAGAAGTGCAGTAGTAATAAGCTCTAAATATAAAATTTACATTTCATACAAACACAACATTTGAAATGTAGTAGAATTTTTGCAAGGAATAAAAAGTTATAAATGCACAAGTTATAGTCAATGCACATTTAAGGTAATATAATCTATTTATGGTTTTTGCTGACTAAAATTAAAATTTTCAGGTAAATTCACGAAGGATGTTGCTAAATTGGATAGGGTTCAGAGAGGAGCCATGAGAATGATTAAAGGATTAGAAAACCTGCCTTATCGTGGTACTCAATAAGCTCAGTGTATTACCTTCTCTTTGTTAAACTAAAGGGGTGACTTGATTACATTTATCAGTACCTACACGAGCAGCAAATATTTGATGATGGGCTCTTCAATCTAGCAGGTAAAGGTATAACATGATCCAGTGGCAGGAAGTTGAAGGTAGACGAATTCAGAGTGGAAATAAGGCATATGTTTTTAACTCTGAGGTTAATTCACCATGGGAACAATTTACCAAAGGCCATAGTGGATTCTCCATCGCTGGACAATTTTAAACCAAGATTGGATGTTTTTCTAAAAGATCTGCTCTAGGAATTATTTGGGGGAAGTTCAATAGCCAGTGTTATACAGAAGGTCAGACTAGATGACCACAATGGTCCCTTCTGGCCTTGGAATCTATGAATCAATGGAAATTTTTAAAAACTGGGTGAAATATTTTATTTTAAAACTTCATAGTGTGCTTTCAGTGACTATTATGAACATCCTTTGTAATACTTCCTCACTAAAGGGAAGATGGTGGTTTGATTCAAATACCCCTAGTAGGTCCAGAACTACAATCTTTTTTTTTTTTAACTTAACAGAAAATGTCTTAACCTCCGTAGACCAGACAAGCAGCCATTCTTCTTAGAAATGCTTAGTCAGTATTGTGAGGAAAAACACAGGGTAAATTACATTGAAATAGAGTTCAGTGACACAAAATACCCATGTTTTGTACATTACTGAACATTAACTAACTTATCATGTAGGGAAGCTAGGAACAGTATAAGATTTGCCACTGCTTTTCTGTCCTCCGCCATCAAATGTCAATCAAAGACTTGAAGAAGAGCTCTGTGTAAGCTCGAAAGCGTGTCTCTTTCGCCAACAGAAGTTGGTCCAATAAAAGGTATTACCTCACCCCCTTGTCTCTGTAATCAAAGTTTAGGCAAGGGAAGAAAAGAACAAGTGAAATGGGTAATTAGACGTGTACCCTAAATTTACTTCTGCCCCATTTCTTTCATGAACATAATTGTTTGCACACTCTTTTCTGTGGCACCTAATTTGACTAAGTTTAACCTTTCCCTGCTGCTAAATTTAATTAAGCTATATTGCTTCCATAGTGTGAGTTGTGTCACTGTGATAGCAATGGTGTGTGAAATTCTTCTCTTTTCTCACTTTAGATGTGTGTGGAAAACTCGTGATCTAAAAACTGCCAAGACACATGACAAATTGCAAATAAGGATAAAACTTGGGGAAACTACTGCTATATAAAGTTGGTCTTGAAATCTAAAAGTGCAAATTTATATCAAAGTCGCGTTCGAGCTTTAAATGACTTTTCAATCTTTACAGTCACCTCCAAAAGTGTTCATTTTGTAATCACTTAATCAAAACGTCTAATTGCTGTGAGTCCCTGGTTTTGGTTTTGGTTTAATATCTCAGTAGCACTTTTAAAACAAGTCACTAAAAAAATCTCTCATAAACAATTTGCCATGTATTTACCATTTGACTTTTGTGGGGCACCACATTTCCATGCTATGTATCGTAATACTGTGCATTATATTAGGGCCGCTGAGCATGAAATGTGTAATTTCAACCATGTTGGTTGGCATTACATAAGAATTGGTTTTGACAGGCTTAAGGGCTTCTCACAATAAGAGGCAGTCTGAGCTGCATTGACAGTATTCCATGATGTGAATCTTGCGTAAGGACCACAGCTGCTTTAGCGGAGAGATGGTTGGCTGTACTCTCTTGTTTATAGGAACATTCTAAATCTTATTCCAGGTTTTGACTCTGATGAAGATCTTGGGCCGGTCTGTCATCATACATCATTTCTAGGTGATGGTTTGGGGTTGATTGTTGGCTTTTATCTTTAGTAAACCTTCCTTTCTGTTTCAAGTGTTTGCACGTTTGCATGGTAATGCAAGCTTTGGGCCTGCGGGGGAGGAGAGGGAGAGGGGAAGGCATGTCATGACCAGAGTCAATAGAAAGCTGCAGGCATGAAATTTGTATGGAAATCAGTTAAATCAATCTCCACAGAATATGGATTTTCCATAGCAAACAATTTAAATCATGATGAATCATTTACTTTTATTCTGTGCAGTGATGTTCTGCATGGCATATTTTTCATAAATGATGATGTGTGGTATATTTTGGCAGCTACACTGAATGTCCACTGATAATGATATTGGTCATTGGGAGACAGGCTAAGTTCCAAGCACATTGGGCATGTATGCTGGTGGCCCTAGTGTAGTATTATTGGTACTTGAAGGTGCTTTCACCAAATAAAAGCTACTTTTTATAAGTAGATATGAAAAAATAAGTGCATAATAATAGCACTTGTATACTGCTTTTCAAGTATATAGATAACCAGCAGCTTACACAATGTGTTTGAGATATCAGAATAATAAAAATGGAACTGTGCAAATTTCTGTGGAATTTGATGCTTAGCTCTATGGAAAATGCTAATGTTTTCCATGAATTGGTATTGTCACTGGTCATGGCCCCTGTTTCTCAGGTCTTCTGTGGATTTCAGCGAGACCCTTTTACTGTTCAAATTAGCGTTAACTAGTCAAAACAAATCTATCACTCTGCTGATATTTGCAAACCAGATGTTGACACAGGAGTTGGAAACAGCAACTAACTGGAACAAATTGTATATCTGCTGATTGTCCTCAAATCTGTCATGTAGAAATCTACTTCCCAGGTTCTAACCAGGTCCAAATAATTAATTGTACATCAGCCTTTGATTTTTTTAATTTGGATATGAAATCACCTTTAGAAATAGCTTTACATTAGCTTTGTTTTTGCCATTACAGATCAAAGAGTGGCATCTTTTTGCACCCTGAATGATATGCAGCAAGCTCCAGGTTTGGAGGGTGCTCAAGAGTTACCTTTGGATGAAGAGCCAACAAATGGAAAAGATTTCATTGATGCTACTGGGTATGTAAGATTTAGAGCACTTTGTCATCTGCTTCATAATAAATCATTTCTTCTTACTATGGTTTATTACGTGTTCTGAATAACTTCTGAAATTACATGATGTTCTTAACAAAGCCTAACTTTCTTTACTTTTCCATGCCAAGAAAATAATTTATTCTAACCACAGGAGGTACTTATTCAAGGAACAGGGTGTTAAAATGCCCAAATTATCATAATATTAAAATTTAGACTCCTTTGTAAATATTGGAGAAAATACCTTTTACAACTATGGCATTCCCAAAAGTTTAGGAGTTCAACTGAGATTCAGAGTTACCATATTTTATAAGCCAATATCTTTGAAGAACTGTCAGAGAGGTAAGATATTGGAGGGAATTATTTTGGTTTACCTACTGCTTTCTGGAAATTAAGAACAATTTTTGCAGCTCATCAACTTGTGGCTTGTCCATGGTAAATTGTCAAGTTTGTAGATCATGACAAGCCAAACAATGAGATTGTTTAGTATAATCATTGCCCTGAGGGATAAAAGTCCAGAGGAAACTTGCATGCAATGCTGAGCTAGCGCATTGAATCACTGGGCAAATACTTCTTCCTACCCTCTTGGCCTGCCATAACAACAACATCTCTCTGTGCAATGCTATGAAGTCTTGAAGAAGAATTATCAGAGATTAAACTGCAATGGCAGACAGAGCTATTCTTGTTTTTTTGTTTTTTTAAATCAACTTTAAGAAAGTCACAATACCAAGTATTTTGTACACACCATACCAAAAATACTGCTCATTTGAAGTTAATGGGAGTGACTGGGTGTCCAGCATTTTTGAAAATTAGGGGCTTACTTTTCTTACAACTTGTACCTACAAATGACTTTCGGTGCCTAACTTCAGGCACCTTTTGTTGTGTTGGGCATAGTGTTTTAAAATACAGGCAGAGATACTGGACTACAGTTCTGGAGCAAGGATTGGATTCCACAGCTACAAAGTCATCCAATGTGTAGCTCCCTGATTACTAGGAGGAGATCAGATGAAGCCCAATTTTGGTCATGTTCAGGTTTACATGCAAGGTCTACCTCTGTAATGGCTTTTACCGAGTCATTGCAAATTTCCAGGACCAAGCAACAATTTGGAATACTGAAGGAGAAATAGTAGAAGGGAAGAAGGACTCGTACACAGCAGGAACTAAAGAGGCTGTGAGAAATTGGCCCTTCAAGGAACACACAATGCCATCTGTAACTGTTTTATGGCGCATAGATAGCACGGTGATACTTGCCTTAGAAAACAAGATAAGTATGTAAACGGACACATGGAAGAATATGTATCTGAACATACCTGCTTCTTCAAACATTTCCATGCAATATCAACGCTCAAGTAATTTATATGAATTTGGGATGTACTCTGGAAAATTTTAGATCCATTAATAAAATGCTGTCAGCATGGGACAGACCTAATCCTGTTCTTTCGTATTTCATTCTAATAAAATGGGTAATGCCACCCATTTTCCTTAGACCAGCACGTAGGTCCTTCTTATCCTTTGAAATGTCTATTAGCATGAATATACAAAGGAATATATATGAAATTTTATTCAGCATCTTTTGAAACTACTGACTTTCATGATGAGCAGAACGTATTCAGCTTACTGTTTGCTGTTTTTGATTATCACCAAGGGCAAAATAAAACAGAATAGAAAGAAAATGATTCCAATGTGAAAGGAGGTTGCAGTGTTTTATACTATGTTGCAGGCCTGTCAGTGAACAGACACCTTTTCTTGGCTCTTGCTGAGAAAACAGTCCAGAAAACTTTAAAGCTCATCAGCACTCAGTGAACTTCCTAAGGATCATCAGTGGCTATAACAGTTTGTCAGGGTATGATGTCCCTTTTTAAAAAGAGAAGTCATTAAATAAGACTGCTTTTAAATATCTCATATGTGGTCCTGTGCTTCATTTGAAGAGAGTCTCTGGCAAGCCATGGTAAAAAAAAAAGTATTATGGGGTTGAGGGGGAGCTTCTGTTTCTGCCTTAGGAAGTTTGTCCGTGCATAGGAAAGTGATTCAGCACCTCCACTGCCTTGGGAGACTAATTAATGGGAACCCAAGGGCTGCCAGGGTCCTGCCAGGACTAGGAATACTTAGGCACCACTGATGGTCACATCTGCAGGACCCTCCGCCTTTGTGGAAGAGGAATTTAGGTAGCCTTGTTGATTGGAGATTTCAGGCAGCAGAGGTTGTATTAGAACTTAAAGCTGGATCCCCTTTGCTATACCTATAGACCAATTATGCTTCTGAATTTTTTGAAGCCAGGAGACAGGTCAGCACATCAGGCTGGAGCCTTCTGTCTCCAAAGCTCTGGAGTTGCTTCAGCATTAGCAAGAGAAGCTCCAGTTACGGAGTATTCACTTCCTCTTAGATGAAATTGCTCTGAGCAATTAAGTGACATTATTATTTTTGTTTGTTTGTTTATTATTTACTATTTGTTGGATTACTGTAACATCCAAGAGCCCTAGTCATAGACCAGGACCCCATTGTGTAAGCAAGCGCCACACACACACACACACACACACACACACACAGCCAGCGCTTCCACTAGGCGACCCTAGGTGGTCGCCTAGGGCGGCAGGATTTAGGGGGTGGCATTTTGCCGTCCTCAGCGGAAATTCGGTGGCGGGGGGGTCCTTCCGCTCCGGGTCTTCAGTGGAAATTCGGTGGCGGGGAGTCCTTCCGTTCCAGGTCTTCGGCGGAAATTCGGCGGCGGGTCCTTCACTCGCTCCAGGACCCGCTGCCAAAGTGCCCCAAACACTCGGAGCAGAAGAACCCCCGCCGCCTTTTGCCTAGGGCGGCAAAAACCCTGGCGCCGCTCCTGTACACACACAAAGATGGTCTCTGCCTCAAGTAGGCATTGTAGTTGCCTTGTGAGGTATACTGATATAAGGACAATTACTAAAGTAAATCCTCTTTGTTCTGTAGTTGTATACAGTACTGTTTCAGCACTCAAAAGCAGCCAAACATTGATGCTGAATAAATGAAGTTTGTGCACCTCAACGAAGCTGGGTCTCTGCTCCATCCACATCCTTCCTATCAAGTTTAAGTACACTGTGGAAAGCGCATAGACAGCCAGGAAGTTGGGAGGTCTGCAGCTACAAAACAGTGCTGCAGTAGGGGCTTTGCACCTAAGGACTTTCGGGTGGGCAATAGTTGGGATAGGTGCCTGCCTGCAGACCACTTCTAATCTTGGCTAGAAAAAAGTGCTTTGCTCTAGAGAAGACAAGGCAACCACCTCCTCCAACAAGCATCTCTTTGGAGACCTCTGAACCTTAAAAGGTTCACGGAACTGGCCTCTCCGGGCATCAGGCCTCCCCGGGCCACCAGTGCTCTTGTAATGCAGACCTTGAAAGATCAGCCTGAAGCATTCTCAAGTGGTGTTAAAAATATTTATCTGAATACATTGTGTAAAGTTTTCCTTCTATCCAATTCAGCAAAAGGAAATCCAGTCCCTTCTAGCAAAGAATGTCAGATCCTACTGACCCACTATACACCCTGCTTTAAAGATAAAGGGCTTGCTTCCGAGCACCTCCTAATTTCTTCCCAAAGAATTCCACTGAAATCTGTCATTTTACCCTATCCACATTACCATATTAACAGGTCCTTCTCTAAAACCTCGGTGTGAGAATGACCTCTGGGGCTTTAGTCATCTTTAAACAAAGTGCTCAAAGACTGTGCAGCTTATTGTTTCCTCTTTAATATCAAATACAATTGGCTCCCTTGTTTCCAAGAGCACCATGTCTAAATGGCTCTCTACACATTACATTGCTATGGCTTTGCAGATCTGCAACTTTGACTGAATATGCCTTTACATTGCATCCGAGAGGTTTCTGCTTCTGCAGCCAACCCCTGCTCAATTTCCATCTAGGAGACTTGCAGGGTAGCCATGTGACGTTTTCTGCTTGAAATTAGTATCTAACGTGGGGTAGAATCTGGTCTTCAGATCACCACTCACTACCTTATCTCCTTTCAAAGTTGAGTTCTGAAATCTTTTGTTACAATCCACCCCCCCGACCCCAAACACACTTTGCTTTGTTTATTTCTACCTTTCATTTGGATGGAATTGATCAGTGGGTGTTGTGTAACTCTGCACAGCAGGGATGGCGTACAGTGCTGGAACAAGGGGCTTAAGTCTTCAGCATCATGGGAGTTCCCTATCTGGTGACTTGGTACAAGAAAAGACAGCAGCTATGTGTCTTCAGAGAACAAATACAGGCAAACCTATAGCCCCTGCTTACAGATGAAGCAGAGAGAATGTAACTTTCTTAAGGCTACAAAGTACCCTAGTGCCTCACACCTAGTCCAGTGCTTGGAGCTCTAGACCAGTAGTCTCCAAACTTTTTTGATCGTGCACTCCCATCAGTAAAAATGTTTTGAGCACGCACCCCCTGCCGCGCCGAAG